CTAATCTTGTATTCGAATGTAGAATTCGCCCTGAATTTCTCATGTTTAGCCACTTTTCTTGTAAACATGTCAAACGTAGTTTAAACGTAGATATGAAGACCAAAATGTCTCCTTTAGATAGACAGAAAAGGTTGGACCTTAGTTCCGAAACTTGATTGTGGTGCCAGGGCGACCTAGTCGGAGGCACGTCATCTGAAGTCATCTGCTGTATTTTTCGAATTAAGTATTGTTCTCGTGACTACCAGTAAATAAGTAATATGAGATGTATTCACCCAATTTCGTTTAAGGTGATGAAGGACTAGTAGAAGAAGAATCTTCATACTGATTTACTGGTAGTCACAAAAACAATACCTAATTCGAAAAAAAAGTATAGTAATCGATCTTTATAGCAAAACTATTTTTGCTTAATCGACAATCCCACCAAGGGATGCGATATGGGAAAAGGCCTGGCATTCTTTGAAATTCACATCTGCCCTGTGGCCCAAGGGCACTCGTGGCAATGTGGTCGAGTGGTTAACATGTCAAATTCACATGCTGCACTGTCACGGTTCGACTCACGCTGGACGTGTTGTTAAGACCGATGCGAGGTCGAAACTGCAGTCCACTGGTGCCTGGATGAGAACAATTTTTGGGAAAGCAAGGCTATGTGAAATTCAATAGAAACGTCAGCTCAACTCATATCATTGTGGGAAAATTCATCGCCTTAGGCGAAATAGGGTAAATAAATCTCATCGCATTTTCTGCTTTTTTAGAGGGATGATACTTTCCTTTTTCAGGCTTTAATACAAGCGTTTCGCTTAAAAAATTTTATTTCTTATAAATCTCTTATGTTTGTTTGTCTGACGGATGTTAAGCATTTGGATGAATACATCTCATATTATCTGCTGTAGTTTTTGTGATAATTGTCAGCTTTTGACAGTGGACTTGTTGCATTTCCCGAAGTTTAGTTGGTGTCGTTAATGAGTCTTGCCAGTCTCAGCATTAATCTACAACTCGTCAAAAAGGCAATTTAAAACAGATTGCACACGAAAGTAGGCATAAATATGAAGACAACGATGTTATGGCCTCTGGTTCGGTAGTCGTCTCCTTTCGATGTACAGAAATGATCTGACCACATTTTCGAAACCTGATCGTGTTGTCAAGGCGACCTATTTGAACGTAACTTGTCCGAAGTCTTCTGCTCTAATTATTGACATAATTCCCAGATATATTTGAGCTTACTTCCATTTCGAGTGAAAATGTTGGGTGAAGAGATTCAAAGGTCGGTTCCACCAGAAGACGACGGCGGATTCCTCTTGACCAGCTGTCGATTGGCTTTATTGGAACATTCATTCTGACGGTGTTTACGAAGCAATCTCTTTCGATTCCGGTTAAAAGATTATAAGCTTTCATCCGTCATATGAAGAACATCATCAGAGCAAGGTATTATCGTCACAACAAAATTCAAACTAACAAGCCAAGAAAACTCGAAACCCAACTTTTATCCGCATGATTCCCAGAGTATGACCATGGACTTGGTAGATTCCCAGACGTTTCGCCGGCATTGTGGTCGGCATCTTCAGTTAGTGTTGCCATTCTACGCAAGAAACTACAACTCGTCAAGGAGACAAGTATTTGAAGAGTTATGGCTGACGTTTCCAGTAAAGTTCGCATAGCAATTGGCTTAATTGTATTCAAGGCCTTGCCACAACTTTGCACGATTCTATCGAATTAAGCCATTGTTTTGCGAATAGACCATGTTTACTTTCTCATTTGGTATCTTATTCAGAGGCTATATTCATTTGCAATGAACCAAGTGTAGCAGGGCTTCAACTATTCGCTTGACATAGCATTATCATGACGACATTCATTCAGTGAATAGTGCTTGATTGAGAGACTTTTGGGTCGATCTCACCAGAAGAAAGCGTCGGATATCTCTTCGTTTGTGGCCTTCTGTCATCGCAACGGCGCTTTGGTTGACGGCTTATCACGATATCCTCATGTCTTGGGTAATCTCTCGCTTTTCCTGCCACTTGACGGACAGTCCGCGCTGTATTCCAATCTCATAAAAGCTGCAAGCTTAAACAAATTCGTAAAGTCGAAATTGCCATGTTTCAGATGATAATTATATTCACAATAACCATGAAAAATAACTGATATAAAGGCAAAATAGAGGGCTTGCCTGATTTTTTCTTATCTTAATCTATCTAATTTTATGCTTAAGTGTATGTGAGTGTGTATGTGTGTCTGCTTTTCTGGGCCTGCTACTATCCGTCATAAGTGGGCGAAATCAAAACATGACTTAATAACCTACACATTTGTTCGTCAAGTACTTTCGCCAGGAATGAAAGTAACCACTAGCATATATTCATAATCCAAAACTCTCTAGCTTTCTATTTCTATCTGTAGGACAGCCAAATTATGGACAGGGAAATCAGTTTTCTAAAATAATTACATAATTTCCGCTAACGCTAGTGCGGCAATAAGACTGAAGTCCGTCTGCATGCCTAATTTAACATTTAAGCTCTACATAGCCGATTCATGATAGTAGAGCTGAAAATAAAAAATAGGCTTTATTGACAGTTATTTAAAGTAAATAAGGTATGCCGGAAGTAGAGTTGAAATTAAAAGGTTAGTCTAAATTTAACTATTTTTGTTAATAAAGGCTAAATCGGCGCTTTTTATAGTTGCTAATGTGACTAGTCGCGATCACTTAGGGCAAAGGCATGACTTTGTCAGCCCCATATATATATAATATATTTGAGTGCGACTGTTTGTGTCTGCTTGTGTCTGCTTGTGTCTGCATGTGCTAGCATATGTACGAAACCTGCAGTGATGTCTCAAAGTACATAGAACCGAAAAGAAACGCTTTTTCTCATCATGTTTATTTATTTATTTATTCATTTAGTTAGTTAGTTAGTTAGTTAGTTAGTTAGTTAGTTAGTTAGTTAGTTAGTTAGTTAGT